CCTATGTCTTCAAACCTTTTCCATTGATGGTGATTCACTTCTTTTGATGGATAATGATTCAATTTGAAATGAGCTAGATTCTCTTTACCTGATGTTTTCCTGTCTTTTGGACAGGATGAGATATTCTAAAAATAAGAATTTCCAGAATTTGAGGCTAATTTTGTAAAGAGCTCAATCTATAGGACAGAGCCCCAAACTACTCCCTCCTCCCTGTCTTTCCAACTACACACACACACACACACACACACACGAGTCAGTCCTCTACTGAACCTGACTGCTTGCTTTTTTATTCTCTTTTTCTGGTTCCTTTGTTCCTTTGTCTTGCCTGTCAAGGTTTGGTTTGCAACTCTTTCCACTTTACTTCCTCACCTGGGCAAGTCACTGTTGTTCATGGCTTCAGTTACTACTTCAGAATTTATGATGACTCCCAATCTATGCTTCTAGATGTCAGAGAACATCTTTCTTGAGCTTCAGAACCAAATATTCAACTACAGGATGAATATCTCTACCTGGATGGTACCTAAAGATTCAGGGCGTTTAGTAATCTAAACCTCTTCTCTAAATCATTATTTCATATACATGTAAAACTCTGAAATAATGCCTATCTCTGAGTTCAGTTCATTCATAAAAAGGATGGTATTTTCTGATATCACTACGTGAATCCTCTCACCAATAGTTCTTTAGTCTCTAGGACATTTTTCTCTAATATTTAGCCAATATGCCTATCTCTGAGTTCAGTTCATTCATAAAAAGGATGGTATTTCTGATATCACTATGTGAATCCTCTCACCAATAGTTCTTTAGTCTCTAGGACATTTTTCTCTAATATTTAGCCAATGTGGCAATGTGATACTGATCTCCAACCTTCCTTTTAGTTGCAAACTCACCTTGTAGCAGTCATTAGCAATGAGCTGTAAGAGACTAAAGGACTCGCCAGAGGTTTCCATCTTGAGATAAAGTTCCCATGCTAGTCTTGGTTTCTTATTCATGATATCTATAAAAGGAAACAAAGATTTATGCTTTTTAAATGTATAAGAAATAACTTCTTATCTTATTATTATATGGATTTGGTTTTATATTCCAAATATACAAAATAATGGTAGAGTACCTCTTACATGGAAAGCTTGCAATACTGGCACTAAGCTGGCTCCCTACCAGAATTCTACCACACTTAAAAAAAAAAAAAGAAGAAGAATTCTATCATACTTAAAATATTTGAGATAGGATTCACATAATGATGTCTTTTAGTCTGGGTTGATTTCCAATAGTTCTCACTTTGCTCATCTGCTTAAAAGAGGATATCTATGATTCATTTCATCCTACTCAAAGTTTCAGCCTCACTTAGAATATCTGATTGCTAAAATTTTCCCATGACTACAAAAACTCAGTGAACATTTTACATCCGAGTGAAAAAAAGGAGCAAGAAAAGATAGATAAATGTGTGTGTGCACGTGCGCGTGAGAGAGGGAGATTAGATTATAGACTATATAATATACAAAAAAATTACATTTTTTTTTGACATTTTGCCACTTTACAGGCCTGAACCATAGTGAAAAGGTAAAATTAGTGTAACAATATCATTTCACAAATGATAATGTAAACAGAGACTCTGGAAACTTTAACAAGGCTAAAGGAAGAACTTGATATCTTTTAGGACTTTAAGTGCGAGGTCAATGTTGTATGGTAGAACTAATCACAGGGTAAACTTATAGAACACATTTACATGGCAACCCATACTGAGTATCCTTAACAGCCCTTAATTTCAGCATTTACTTATCCCACAGAGCAAAATTCAAAATAAAATAAGAAAATGCTCAATGTAATTTCCAAACAGATTATGCAACAGAAAAGAGAAAGAGGATTCCTTTTATAACATTTAAAAGAATACTCACAGCACCGAGCTAACCAACTGAGGTAAATGTAATCATTTTTTATCTTCTCACTTTGGATCAAGAGGAACACCTGCAAGATGAGGGAAGAAAGGGAATGAACATAAGGATGGTTTTGCAATAAAAATATCCATTATCAGCTTGCCTTAGATTGACGGTCATTGTAGATTTAGAGATGACTGAATTCTATACAGACTGCTAAGAAAAGTGAGGACAAAATTGGGATGATTTTAACGAACTTCTCTCAGTAACTGATATTACAAGCAGACAAAAAGTTGATATGGATACTGAAGATTTGAACAGCATAATTAATAACTATATGACACATATTCTTTTCAAGCACAAATGGCCATGCAATATGGCAATAAGGCAAGTCTCAACAAATGTTAAAGGACTGGTGTCATACAGACCATGTTCTATGACCACAACACAATTAGTTAGATATCAAAATAAAACAACCTGAAAAGGATGACACACATATTTAAAATACAGAAACAGTGAGTTTTAAATAATTCGCAGGCCAAAGAAGAAATCATAATGGAAATTAGAAAATATTTAGAATTTGAATAACGAGTTGAGTAATTTACTGAATAACAAAATTGAATTGAATTCAATTTAATTATTTTGAATAATTTGGACAGATCAATCTATGAAATTTGAAGTACATATAGTGGTTAGCCCTGGGGGAAAAGGATTGACTCAAAAAGGAGATAAGAAGGTTTCTAGGGTTATGATAATATTGTTTCTTGATCTGGGTACTGATTATATGGGTATGTTCGATTTGTAAAAATTCATCAAGCTGTATAGTTATAATTTGTGTACTTTTCTGCACATATGTTATATTTCTATAAAATTTACCAAAAAAGGGAAAACTTTAATATGGTTACAAAATCTATGTTTATTCACATTGTACTTTTTAATATAACCTAAGAACAAAGGAATCTTTAATAATTCTGTACCCTTGACTATTCTATTTCAGTGAGAAAAAGAAAAGGATATTTTTAGGTAGAATCATTCAAATACCTTCAAAAGCAGATACCCACCTCTTCACCTTCACTGGTATTGCCTGTTGCAGCTTTGGCTTGGGCATAATTAAAGTTAAAGATGTCATCATTATAGAAGTAACTCTGAAAAACACCCAAGAATAGGTCACACTGAGCATAAGCATATGAAATATAAAGTCCTCAGTTATACCAGATAAACACAAAAATAATCTTAGGTAATTAGCTGATGCCACTAATGCCACCATAGAAAAAGGGCCATCTCTTAAGAGTATCTTATCTTTTCTGACACATTATATATAGTACTTTGTATATAAAGTCACATAGATAATTCTATACTGACCTTAAATGAGTTGAGGTAAATCAAGACATCATCAAATTGCTTAAGCAGGAAAAAACAGGAAGCCATGCACTGCCTCCCTGGTATTGTATCTTAAATGGAGGGGAAAAAGAAACCAAGTATATTCATGAAACTAAAAGTTCTCTTTAGCCGAAGTTTGAGTTATTTCATAATTTAGAGATTAATGTATTCTAAGACATCTTTCTAGATTCTGAAATCATAAATTCTGTTCAATGGACAAAACCTCAGTATAATGGAGGTCATGGTTCTTTTTTTTTTTT